ATGCTCCCCTTTTCCAGTCAGCAGGAACTTCACCAGACTGGCATGACTTTTGAAATGCAATGGACAGTAGTTTTGTAACTTCATCTGCCACTTCCTTCAGGAGCTGTGGGTGAATCCCACCAGCTTCCATGGACTTGTTCACTTTCAGGTCCTTCAGGTGGTCACGAACCTGCTCTTCATCTACAGTGCAGGGATCTCTCTTTTCCCAGTCCCTGCCTTTATCTTCTGTAACTTGGTGGGTGTGACCAGGTCTTTGCCATTGAAGACTGAGGCAAAGCAGCCATTGAGTCCCTCAGCCTTCTCCATGTCTTGGATGACCAGCTCCCCAGTTTCCTTCTGGAGTGAGTCCACATTTTCCCTAGTCTTCCTCTTATCATTGATGCACCTTTAGAAACTCTTCTTATTGCCCTTAACCTTCCTTGCCAGATCCAGTTCTCCCTGTGCTTCTGCCTTCCCAACCTGACCTCCTGCTTCTCCCTACCTCTCCCAGAGGACCAACACCTGTCCTTGCTCCCACCCCCTGTGAGCTCTGTGTTTACACCTAAGTGGATCCAGGAGTTCCTTGCTCATCCATTTGTAAGCTGCAACTTGGAGTGTTCCAGCTGTCTGTGCTGGGGGGGCAGGGTGGGGGGTCAGGGGCTCCTCACCTGCATGCAGCAGTTGTCAATGATCATGGTGTCAAACTTGATCTTGGGGTACAGCTCTGCCACCTCCTTGCAGCACTGCAGGAACAGCCCGTCGCCCAGCTTCCTGAGGCAAGAAACACCCGAGGGTTTGCAGGACAGCACCGGGGGGTCCCAGCACAGGGGAGAGGCAGGAGACCCCCGTGGGGCAGGGGCAGGAGGGTCCCTCACATGATGTTGGCCTTGTGCACGGCTGTCACCTTGGAGCGCCCCTTCTTGGTGGCGAAGTCGAAGGCGAACTTGGCGATGCGCTGGGACTTGGTGCGGGTGATGATCTTCAGGCACTCGATCACCCCCTTGGCACTCTGGGGAGGGGGCAGGGGGTGACCAGCCCCCCCAGGCACGCAGCACCCCACCCCCCCCAGCTTTATGGGGCAGGGACCAGGACACTGGGTTGCTCCCCATCCAGAAGTTCCTACATCCCCATGTCCCTCCCGCAGCCACCGCGGCCCTGCTGGAGCACTGAACATCCTCCCATCCCAGCCTGGAGCATCCCTGCTGCTCCTGAAGGACCATGGAATGGTGAAGGTGGGAAGGGACCTCAGAGATCACCCAGTCCCACCCCTGCATGGGCAGGGACACCTCCCACCAGCCCAGGCTGCTCCAAGCCCCATCCAACCTGCCCTTCAACACC